TATCAGCTTTGGACATGTCAAATTAATGTGGGTAGGTATGAGTGTTGGTGTTGAGGGTGTGATTCTTTTCTTAACCAACACCTACACCCACGTTATCGGGTGACTACCTTCTCAATGATATCTACATTATATTTGGATCATATGAACTAATTTTTTTTGATCATGAAAACAAATTCCAAGTTTCTATTTATAAATCAGGAACTTATTGGTACGCTTGAAATCTAGCACAGTTTACTTTAAGACAGAGTTGGCCGTTTTTACCAAGTATACCAATAAGTCGTCAACAATAAAGAACACAAAAATATCTAAAAATTTGTTAAGATATATCATTTTATACAGTTTGTTCATCTATAAAGCTCTATCAATGAAATATACAAAGAGTTTTTACATACCGCTTTGATTTTATCACTGACTACTCATGGAAATACTCAATTAAAAGTTAACTTTAGTTGATCGGTATCTTGAATAGTTTCTTGTGTAAAAACATCAGAAAGATAAATATTGCAAGTAAAATCTTTAACGAATTGAGAAAATTTAAGAATATGAGAGATTCGAATCATGTTATGGAAACTGAAAATATATCATTTATCTTTGGTAGAAACTGTAAACTTTTTTCTCTTAACTAAACAATAATAGTTTTAATCTCTCTTACTAAACCTTTTTACTTATAACAAAAATCTTTTTCGTTCAGGACACCCAGTATACGAAGAATGCTTATTGAAATACTTCACTCAATTTTTCTTTTGTGTTGATAATAGGTGCTTCAATGTTACATGATTTCCGAATTTGCATTAGGGAAGTCGTAATCACTTTAGTAACCAATGAGGAATAATACATGTCGTTGTGAAATCAAGCAAAATGATAATTATTAATGAGATGCACTATATTTCACAGAGTAAAAAACAGTCGTTGCTTGGATATTGCTTCAATAAAAATAAAACCTTTTTTTTTTCTTATTTTGTTTACATTATTACAATATTCATTGTAACCATAATAAAACAAATCGAACTGGCAATGTCTATGTTGTTTTTTTTTTCGTTCTTGCCAGTATGAAAGGAAAGACTCAAGTGCTTAAGTAGATGAAAAGCAAACGAAAGTTGGAAAGAATAACAATACAATTAATGATGTTGGTGGGTTTTTTCTCTTTCGTTTCTTGTTGACAACCATTAATTCAATTACAATCTAGTTGAGTTTGTCGGTTAGTGTAAACCAAAAGCAAAACATCCGCGCTTGACGTCGTAGAAAAATCTGGAAAAAAACAACGGGCATCGAATATATAAATAGAAAAAGTGAGCTCTGTCGTAACAACAAACTAACATTCACCATACTCGATTGCCGATCGAACGGTAAAAGTTGTATTTAACATGAGTAGACAAAAATTCAAACCGGATATCTCCGAATCAACACTGCGTGCCGCTACAGATACAACAGCCGCATCAACTGCCACACGACGAAGAACACAAAAGGCTGAAAGTTATTTAGCTATCTGGGCTGATGAGAATATTGACCTAGATAATGAATGTTGTCGAACCACAATTACACAAATACGCGGTATCGTCAATGAGGTGAATTCTTACACCACAGCAGCAGAATGTATTCAAAGGCTTAATGAAAATAACGAGGCGACGGCATTCGTTATTATATCTGGAAAATTAGGACGGCATGTAATGCAGCAAATTCATGACATACCAAAATTAGATGCAATTTACATCTTTTGTGGCAATCAAAAGCGAGAAGAACCATGGACCAAAAAATGGTCAAAAATAAAAGGTGTCCATACATCAATCAAGCCTATCTGCGCAGGATTGCAAATGGCAGTCAAGCAATGCAATCAAGATAATATACCATTCAGTATTGTTAGTGGGAATAAAGCAGGTCCTAACCAAAATCTCAATCAGCTACCACCTTCGTTCATGTATTCACAAATATTCAAGGAAATACTCCTTGATATACAACATGACCAACAAGCCATCAACGAGTTCGTCACCTTTTGCAAAGAAGAATACGAGGGCAACACTGATGAGATCCAAATTATCGAAGAATTTGAACGCACTTATCATCCATCAAACGCCATTTGGTGGTACACGCGTGAGTGTTTCACGTACAAGATGCTCAATGGAGCATTAAGAACACTCAACGGCGATATAATGATTCGAATGGGTTTTTTCCTGTGTGATGTACATCGTCAAATCGAAACCTTGTACAAAAATCAGATCAGTCAATATCATAACAAGATTTTTACAATCTTTCGAGGACAAGGCCTATCGAAAGCAGATTTTCAAAAGCTAGTAGAAAACAAAGGCGGGCTTATTTCTTTTAACAACTTTTTATCCACCAGCACAAATTCAGGTATCTCAATCGATTTCGCCAAAGAAGCCTTGAAAATGACTGATACGATTGGAATTCTATTCCAAATAACCATTGACCCTAAAGCTTCATCAACTCCATTCGCCTCCATCCAGGAGGTGAGCTATTATAAGGAAGAAGAGGAAATTCTCTTCACCATGCACACCGTCTTTCGCATTGATGGAGTCCGAAAAATTGACAACAATCATGCACTTTATCAAGTCGATCTAAAACTGACGTCAGATGATGATCCACAACTTCGAGAATTAACTGACTGTATTCGAGAAGAGGTTGACGATGTCGGTTGGTATCGAATGGGTAAATTGTTACTCAAAATAGGTCAATTTGACAAGGCCGAAGAACTATATATGGCACTACTGGAACAGGCATCGAACGATAGTGCTAGAGCACTCATCTTTCACCAGCTTGGATGGTTGAAAGACGATCAAGGACAATATGAAGAAGCAGTTGCATTCTATGAGAAGTATCTGAAAATTAAGCAGAAAACTCTTCCGAAAGATCATTCTTCATTGGCTCCTACGTACAGCAACATCGGTCAAGTGTATAATAACATGGGTGACTACTCGAAAGCACTTGAATTTTACGAAAAATCACTTAAAATTAAAGAAACAGCTCTGCCTTCGAATCATCCCTCATTGGCTCCTACGTACAGCAACATCGGTCAAGTGTATAATAACATGGGTGTCTACTCGAAAGCACTTGAATTTTACGAAAAATCACTTAAAATTAAAGAAACAGCTATGCCTTCGAATCATCCCTCAATGGCTACTTCATACAGCAACATCGGTCAAGTGTATAATAACATGCGTGACTACTCGAAAGCACTTGAATTTTACGAAAAAGATCTAGAAATCACAAAAAAAGCTCTGCCTTCGAATCATCCTGATTTGGCTATTTCATACAGCAACATCGGTCAAGTGTATAATAACATGGGTGACTACTCGAAAGCACTTGAATTTTACGAAAAAGATCTAGAAATCACAAAAAAAGCTCTGCCTTCGAGTCATCCCTCATTGGCTACTTCGTACAGCAACATCGGTCAAGTGTATAATAATATGGGTGACTACTTGAAAGCACTTGAATTTTACGAAAAATCACTTAAAATGAAAGAAAAAGCTCTGCCTTCGAATCATTTCTCATTGGCTACTTCCTACAGCAACATCGGTCAAGTGTATAATAACATGGGTGACTACTTGAAAGCACTTGAATTTTACGAAAAATCACATAAAATCTACGAAAAAGCTCTGCCTTCGAATCATCCCTCATTGGCTGTTAGTCAATTGAGTTTTGCAGCATGTTACGAAAAAATGGGTGATTACACAACAGCTCTTAAAGCCCTTAAAAATGCTTATCAAATCCAGCAAAAAGCTTTTGAAGAAGGTAATCCAGCTTTTGCTTCAACATACAGCTGGTTAGGAAGAGTTTATCGCAATATGAAAGATTATTCAAAGTCACTCGATTACTTTCAAAAATGCCTCACAATACATCAAAATACATTACCAGAAAGACATCCCAATCAAGCTATCACATACAGTAATATTGGTGATGCTCATCGTTTAATGGGTGATTATGAGAAGGCAATTTCATTTCATCGAAAAGCATTAAATATTCAAGAAAATGTTCAATGTAATCCTCTCGAATGTGCAACGACATATATAAATTTAGGTGAAACATATCGTCAAATGAAAGATTATACAACGGCATTGACATATTATCAAAAAGGATTAGAAATACGTGAAAATAAACTACCAAAAAATCATCCTGATTTAGCTGTAGTATATCACAATTTGGCAAAATTATATTTATCTACTCAACAATATAATATGGCAATGAAAAATGTTCAACAAGCCGTAGAAATTGCTCAAGAAAAATTATCTTCAAATCATCCTCATATTTTGGAATATAAAGAAACATTTGAAAAAATTCGAAATAAAATGTAATTTGTTTTTTTTTCGATTTGCTGAATAAATTTATTTGAATTACAATTCATTTCGCTTTTCCGGTTTTTCTCGGCTCATTCTCGCGTACGCGCGCGCGCGCGCGACCAGGAAGACTCCCTGTAAGCCCAATATGGGTACACGCAGAGTGGACCATGCCGGACTGGTTGGGCATGATCGTAGGTATATCGTACAATAAGGACGACAGGGACCTATGAACAGACGCCCTTCCAGAGTACTACGCTGCTTTCGCCATAACAGGCACAAGAAATCTCCCTGGGTTAGGTTACGAAGCCACCTAACAGGCTGTGATATAAAATAGTATCTATCTCCCTCTACATAATAACACAAGTATGAAAGAAATAAAAAACATTATTCCATACGAAATAGATTATATCTAACTTATCGAAAAAATAACTTGAAAAGTTCTAGTGGCCAATAGAACTTTTCAACTTATTTATAAATTTTTTATCGCAATACGAAAAAAAAACTAAACTCAATACTCTTCATTATTCCTTTTTTTAAGAGAAAAAAAAAGAAACAACATATCCTATTTAAGATTGGAATATATATATAATATGTAAATGTATAAATATCATAATTATGTACATAATTGTATCTTGCATCTCCTGAAAAAAAAACAATTTATTAGAATACTTATTCAATCTATTGTTGATACAATAGATCGATTGAATTGAATGATTTTATACAAGAAAATCATTCCTTATATAGAATGTTTCAAAAACATGAACTGTCACTCAATGATAATGATTAATAGATAATTGATTTCTGATCATTAGTTCAATCATTGATGAGATAATCATTTTCATCGACGATCAATTTATCGCCACTCGACGATGTCTCTTTCATTTCTTTTTCTATTTACATCACATTCACAGCCGTAACTCAGTGACTTTGACATCATTTTCATTGCATAATGATGATTATTTTCGAAAACTAAGATTTCTTCATTACTTTCATTAGTTTTG